CTAAACGAGGTTTCACTTCAAGTTGAAACTTTTCCTGGAAGTTTGCCTTACCATAAGCTTTCGTTGGAGCCCTGTCCCGTTGACCAACTTGGGTATAATAGTCTACTTATGCACCGGACTAATAGTCCAATATCCTTGATTTTAGCACATGAAACTGGAAAATTGGCAACGCTGTACAGCCTAAACCAGGGGTCACTTCAAGTTGAAACTTTGCATGGAAGTTTGCCTTACCATAGGCTTTCATTTGAGCGCTGTCCGGTTGACCAACTCGGGTATAAAAAAAGGGGCTAAAAAACACCACTTTTTGGCGAGGCTCTTTATCCCAGAGAAGAACATAGTAAAAATATATCTGTGTCAGGAGAAAGGCAGTCGTGGCCTCTGCTACATGGCCCTATCATTAGAAACGGGACAACACAACTTAATAATTAGATCGACTCTTTTTACGATCTGCATGTTTCCCTTTCAAATAGGAACTACAAAGGCGCATAAAGATCCCTCATACGTGCGTTTGGAGCGTTATACTTTTATTGCTAAATACCCGAGAGATTGCCCTTTGATCCCGGGACCTCGTGCTTCGCCGCTTAGCTGATCAAAGAGCGGTTCTGCACTTAATCTGAGCCTTTTCTTCATACAGTTAAATGCTTTCCAGGGCGCGCCCGCGCGTGGAAATGAAGTCGTGCCCTTTTTCAGGAGAACGATGCCTGATACTAAATAAATTCATGCACCGTTTTATCACTCCTAAAGTTTCGATGTGAATATTTTCCAACCTCCTCGGGCATGCATTTGGACACGGCAACCCGCTGCGCACCTATTCAATTAGTGCTCCGCTTTGTGACTCGCTTTTATTAGCCTTAACTTAATCTACGTATGAAATTATGAAATTATAATGTCTCCATTGGCCTTACTCTCAATTGCTGACTTTTATTGATGAAAAAATTGAGGAGAGGAAAAGATTGACTTGCATCTCAACGTCCCAGGCTCAAATGATCTTTCCTCGTGCGTTTTCTCTGTGCAATGTGCTTCAACTGAGCTTGTAGCTTTGTTTCTGAAAGCAGTCTGATTCAGTCTGGTTTCCTCCAAAATTGTTTGACTTCACTTTGGCCTTCGATACCTGGATCTCTAACATCTCCCCTTCCCCTCTCGTTTTTGAAAAGTTGAGCACACTGAGATAAGACACGTAAGATGGAATTAATCTGCAGCGTCGCCAACTACTTTAAGGAACGGAAAGGAGTGAAATCTCACCTCCCCCCCTCTATCTGTATTATTTTTCCAAAATTTCAATCTTCAAAGGTTCGGGGCATCTTTTATGTTAACCGAAAGCTTAACGTCAGCTGTAGTTTTCATCTAATCCCCCTTTGTCAGGTATATATCAGACAATTTTTTTAGCCCCCTTCTTACTTGGATACTGATATCATTTATAAAGGGCCCCCCGTTACCATCGACGTTTCTCAGATTTGAAAGAAAAAAAAATACATCTGATTTGTAGCGGCTGCCGCAGAAATTAATCTAAAAATTCAGTTTGAAATTGCCACCCCTGGCGCACATTGCGATAGAAGCAGTGAGGATTCCTGAAAGTTAACAACATTTTCATCTTCGGGTCTCGTCCCCACGAATGTATGCCGATTGTTTATGTCCGTTTAAGCAATCGATATTTATAAAGGCGGGCTTCCTCACCTATACGCGATTATTTTCAATGGGTTTAAATGAAGAAAAACCGGATGTTGCCTCCATATAGGGAAACAAGTAGTGGCATTGCGAGCTCCAGAATTTCATTGGACAGTTTATTCATTTTACTTTTATTCACGATGGAACATTTCTCCAGAAACATTAATTTCTAGATTATCCTAAAAATCTCATGGAATGTGTTTTGGAGAGGAAATTCCTTGAAACTGTCAAACAAATCGGAGCCACCATTCTGTAATCGACGAGGAAAGTATGAGATAAAATTTGGCAACAGGAGATGAAACTTGATCCCTTCCCGAGAAATTTTGCCCAGCTAATGTTGCCAACTTGGAAAATTCGCCACTGGATCGAAGTATGGGTTTTTGGCGCCAACTCACACATCCACGGTAACAACGTGTGAAAGACTAAATCTCTTTGAGTTAAAGTTTCCGTTTGCTTCGAGTCGAGATTAAAAGCAGGATAAGACCAAAGGCCATGAGTGGGGAGAAATAGCCAGTACCTGTTATTGCATCCGGCCATAAAATAACCTGAAACTTGCGCTCAAGTCTGAACTTAAAGCTGTTGCTTACATAGTAAACATACGCTTCGTGACTTTATCAAAGTTGTTTCATTGTGTATCGTCCGAACTTGCCGTATTCGCGGGGGTTGGAAACTGCCCGAGAAATAACAACTTTATAGTGATATATAAACAATAAAAACCGCACTCAATTCTTCATGTAATGACAGGCAAAATAATGCTGTAAGGCTCTCATGCATCAAAAGTAAAACGAATCGAGGAAGTCATTTACGTGGGTATCAAAGAGGCCATCAGCAATTAGCACAACTAAAGAGTGAAAATCGGTTAACCGTATTTTTTTTCTTTCAATCAGTAAACATTGGAGAGCAATTCATTTATCGTAAATATGAATATTCTTAGATGTGAATGGGGCAGTTTCGTCATCAACGCAAACAGTAACTTTGTCAACACGTTTGTAATGAACTGATCTCCTGTTAAAAAGTCGGACCATTTTTAAACATCTTGTCATTCAACTAGTAAGGGCTCTCGAATAACTGCAGCATTAGTTTTCTACAGCGCATTTGGCCAGTCAAGTTTTTTTTTAAATTTAGTTGAGGACTTGAAATTTTTCAGTTAAAAGGGACTAATTTTGGAGCATCTCTCCCTCCTCCTTCACCCCGTTCCCCGCCCCCAAAAAAACTAGCAGCAGAAAATACGTTAGAGTTCGGCACGGATTGGAGTTTTTTTTTTTTTTTTTTTTTTTTTTTTTCAAATGGCAATGTGTCTCTTGGGATACATTGTCAGGGAGCGCATAAATTTACCGTGTTTGAACCCAGACTGTAGATCTCCGTCTATCGCCGACTCAAAATGGCATCTGGTCAATGCTTTACGGTTTTCAATTGATCAATGAAATGTTTGAATCGAAAAACTTAACCTAATGGGGGTATAAACCCTGATACTATGAATCAACCTCATTCCATGACTACTAAATGTACCGAAAGTAAAAAAAAATTGCTGCAGCCAAAATGTTCATAGCAACATTCAAGAGTTGACGCACAAGGTTGTTACTTCAGCATCTTTTATTTTCGGTGTGAGCGCGAAAGGGTGTGCCTGTGCCGTTTGTAACAATTTTGAAGAATATTTTTATAATGTATCGATTTATTTGTTGCAGAGTTGCCTGAGGAAGATCCAGTCATCCGGACGGAACATAACAGATATTTCCCAGGAGACTACCTTATAGCTAATTGTACCTGCCCACCGTCGAAGCCTGGTGCCTCTATGGCGTTTTATCTTAACAATAGATCGGTAAGGCAATAGCGGATCTTTTCAGTGCAGAGGATGAGACAGAGGGTCCATGACACCGTGCGCTCCCTCTGCGGAAATTCGATTTCGCCGTGTATTTCATATCGAATCGCCGATTCACCGTCGGTTTAATTTGCACACATATTTCTCTCTCCTGCAAAGATGTTTGGCCCAGTGGGTTGATTTTTGAAATTGATAGACAAAACAATAGACAAAAAAGACATAAGGAACTTTAGGTTTTCTTGGTGCACGTTGTGAGCGAGGAGTATATCGGTCAAAGCACTCTTGATCGCAGTAACGGCGCCAGCAGCATTGCTGCAGGAACGAGCGTTTTTAAAATGTTGCGTCATTTAAAAAAAGGGGGAAATTGTTTATGTAAATTGATGAGACCATGCAACTAGTGCTCGACTCACTTTGACAAATCAGAAAAGTAAGCAACACGCCTGATGTTTCGTGTATGAGGCGGGACAAACTTTGCCAAATTGCGGGTGTGCAATGTGCATGGTTCTTCTCTGATGAGCGCGGTTAATGTATTGAACTTGCGGATAAAGCTCCTTCAAAATGCTTGACTGCAACAAGGAGGACATTCCCTCCAGCGGTCTTGGTGCCACCAAGACCGAAGATATGAAATAGTGGTCTAAATGGCGCATCCACCAAGTTGGTGGATGCGCTATTTAGACCGCTTGGTGGATGCGCTATTTAGACCGATATTTCATATCTTCGATGCTTAAACAGATGAATCAAAGTGCTTAATGACCACGAATTAAGCATACGTTTCCCTTTGAAGGATCCACATAGTTTAATGTGATCGTTGGATGACAGAATTGTGAAACAATTCAGTTTAATTGATACCACTTACTGTCGCCGCGGGCCAAGCTCTCAGGTGTGTTAGCATATCGAACCAAAGTTTCTTACGTTTTGCCTCAAATGCAAATAATCAGCAGAGAAAAGGTATTGGCATTTTTTTTAAATTTCTCATCCTTAGTCTTTATAGGTACATTGTTTGGATATCTTTGTTTAACCTGTTAAAAATTAGATTCATTTACAAGATCCAAATCACGTCTTCACATCTCGGCGCACCTTGAATCTCTTTGACGCAAGAATCCACTATTACGTAATGGACCATTAGACAAGGTACGAGTTTCAGCATTCTCACACATGTTTCTTAATTCACGCAGAACACAATACGTTCAACGAAAATTACCGTAATCAATACCTTACGAAGATATTTAATGATTCTTAATGCGTGAACTCAGACCATCCGCTCATGAAAACTCAATGCTCTACGTGATTCACATCGAGCGCTAAACGTTATCATGACAGTCTCTGCGATATAAAAAGCTGGCAACCTCGATCTTGACGCTTTGGCTCAGCTATTGCAAATTGCTTATAGTTTGAACAACATATGGTGGGAAATGAACATTGCTCGATTGAGAAGCTTGCTGAAACCGTTGTAGTGCGCGATTTGACTCACGTAGAGCTTTGAGTTTCTTGTGAGCGGGCAGTTCAAATTCCTCGTAACCAATGTGTAATAAAAACGTTAATATCTTCGTTAAAAGTTGATTTCAATAATTTTTGTTGTAAGAATCGTGTTTTACGTGAAATTTTGGTTAAGAAACATGTATCAGATTGCTTAAATTTGTACCTTGTCTAGTGGTCCATTTTCTTTATTTATCTTCAATGACACGTCATAAATATACTTATCGATATTTTGCATTTTAAGTCTATAAACATAATATTACTGACACGTATGGACACTACTTCTAAGTGTATGCAATCTGACATCGAGTTTAAAGATGAGCAAACGCTGCCGAAGCAAATTGTTGACATTTAACCTGACATTTCTTTTTTTTTGGGGAGGGGGGGGGAGGGGGGCTAACCGGTCCATCAGAAATGTGAAACCAATACCATTTGAAGCTGAGGATACGAGTATCAAAATCAAATAATCATTTTTGTTATTATTCTTCGCACTTTTTTTGAAGGGGTGGGGTGATGGGAAACCATGATACGATAGTACGTGTTTTCAGGATAATTGAGTTTTCCTGTGATCCTCTTGGCAGATTCTTTCACATCTTTTACTGCTTTAATAATTTATCTTTCTTCGGTCGCAAAATATAAAGTACCAGGATAGACTCTCAGAAAGTCCCTCGTAAAAAGATGATTATCAAATATTCATTTGATCTATTAATTTTGCAGGAATACATATCATATTTTAAGATTATATATTCAAACAATTTTTCTTAAGGCAGAATTTTTGGCAGTGCTTAATAGTCACCAGTTCTCTGTGGATAATTTTCTTTTCTCAGTCGCTAGTTATGTCATATAATGGTGGGATTCAATAAATTTGCAGCCCTGCTTGTTGCGTTCGTTCATATTGAAGGAGCTTTATCAGCGAGTTTATATTCACTTGTTAGTTCAATTCAAAGTCTCCTCGTTATTTGAATTCAATTTCCGTTTCAGATTCTTCAAGAAGAAAGAGAGCCTCTTTCAGACGAAGGAGACGAGCTTGTTGAAAATATAATCAATCTTTCGATGCAACTAGATCCCAGCCATTTTTACAAGGGAACGTTCACGCTGAAATGCAGCGCCGTAGTCACACCTCTATACCAAAAAACAGTAGAAATTCGGTTGTCGAATAGCCCGTACCAACCCGTTCCTGAGAGAGGTAACAGTCCCCTCTGAGCCTGTCTTCCTTCCTACATCCTTTCTTGATTAATTATTTTTACTTTAGCTCTTTACGAAGGCGCTTTATATTTGAGGATCATCATTTCTTTCCTTTCCTCCATGTTTTTATTTATTTCAAATAAAATTCCAAATAATTTAACTTTCAAATTTTAGTCTGAAAATTGTTATGCCTGCACTTGCAGAGGACTTTGTGCAGTGAAACCAAAATGTAGTCTTCAACAGAGACGAAAAATGAGGAATCTCTAGTTTCGGAGCATTTAAACCGTTTCGCACAATTTTTCCTGATTTTGTTTCTAAAAAAGTGCATGCATTATTCTAAAGAATTGGACAGTTGCGAATAATCATCACTGCTTGCAATGAAAAAAATTACTGATTATTGACATGTAATAAAATATAATGGGAAGTCCGTATACATTGGTCATAAAGAAAGTTCAAAATTTAATTGAGCTGATGAGCTGTCCGTTCGATTTATTTTAAAATCCAAAATCGTTCTCCCCCCCCCCCCCACCACCAAGGATTTACATAAATATCCTCTTGAAATTCTTTGCGAACAACGGAACAGCTTAAAGCGTAGAACAATTCAAAGCCTTATTTTGTACGAGCTACAAAATAATACATTTTAGTGGAAAAAGAAACGACGAATACGGAAATCTCGAGGGCTCATGTTTGTCGATATACAAAAATTATGTGTATAAGTAGCCTGTAAATTGAGCGTTCTAACCTGTAACAAGTTTTAGTGCTGAAGCTTACAGTTTATTCCGGTCTTCACCGATACAAACAATTCATCAAAAATTCAGAGCTAAAAGCGCATTTAAAATATTCATTGAGAAGGAAACGTGTTTTTCTTACGAAGAATATGTGTTTTTTGTTTCAGTCATGCGATCAGGATGCTTGAAAACGCAAAGACTTCCGAAAGTGTTCTACCTCAGTCAAGTAATGGTGTTATTATCCCTTTGGAGATAGCTCATGTCTGAAGCTGATTTAGACATGCAGTGCAATGTCGTCTAACCGCCTAAAAAGTCATGCCCGAACTAGCTATTTTTCTCAAAAACTGTGATAATTACTTTAGCTATTAGTATGTATCTGTATCTATAACGTGTAAATATTGTAATATATTGATTCTTCTACAACTAAAGAAAACTAACACAAGGATAATGGCAGCAACGCCCAAGTGATGTCAGTGTATTAAGAATTGAATTATACGGCAAATGCGCTTTTTGCATGTAAGTTAGGGTGATCCTCCTCTCTCGAAGAAGTATAAACATGTTTGCCTCTATAAAAACTAGACGCATTACTGCAAAATAAGGAAATCTGCATTGACAGACCCAAAGGAAGAACCTACTTGTTCAAGGATTTTATTTTTGGAGTTTGGAAGGTAATTCAGTCCAAAATTGCATTCCCAAGACCTACTATCAACGGAGATATAAACGGAAAGAATAACTCGATCTGGAATAAATAAAGTGTTTTCTCTCGGTTGAAAATTTAGGGAAAACATGATAATGTGGAACAATGGGGATACCATGTTGATAGATTTGTGTCAGATAATACTGCTCTAATTGGCCTACATTTTAAGATTAGGAGCTACAATTTCTAGTTCATTGTAGCGACAACATACGTGCCCTTTACCTCCCTATGCAAATAGTTGTTTTTATATGTGAGCCAAAAATTGTAATTTCTTATTTCAAAATTTGGCCCAGATGAAAACTAGATGACGCAAAATGAGTCTATCCTCAGGAGAGTAAAAAGCCCTAACTGCCACTGGCTTTGAATGGAATTTTGGGTGGTTTTTTCGAGTACTCTCTCTTACCATTCGTCCTCTGTACTTAATATGCCTAAATTCATTCCAATTTCCGTGTCTCACGTACGTAAGCAGCTCTAGGCTATTGCCTTTACAATATCTTTTTTTTCAAAACTCCGCAATGCCGGTACACCGTTTTTTTTTTTAAAATGCGTCTTATTTACCGCCATCAATACGAGATTTTATAGCTAGTATAAAATTGACATATTAGTGAAGCGTATGTGTGCTTAACTTCAACAACCGAAAAAATATACTTCAGATACTGAACTTCTTACTGTATGCCTCATTGGTTTTTTGAGAGTCTTTTTGTCACTGACCAGTCCATCCATCAGTTAAATTTTACAGGGATTCAAGGACAGGTCATTATCGTCAATTTTAAATATTCATCTGCCTTGTTAATAAACAATTCAAAGCAAGAAAATGTCTGTCGTACGGAGAGTTTTCTTAGGTTCACGTCCCGGTTTTAAGAGGGAAAACCTCATAAAACCTCTTAAAACAATGTGCAAATAATTAAGTTCTCATAATCCCGCAGGCATCCATTTTTCAAGACGCGCAAAGAACTAATTGACAGCATTTCATTATTTTATGCTTCGAACGAAAATGTGCGGAATGACGACACGAGAGACAATGTTTTATTGTTAATATATTTTATGTATCTGTTCATTGTTTGAATATCTTTTAAAGAAAAACTTCTTTGAATGTTTGATTACCTAATGAATTAAATATTTTCTTTGCTCAGTTTTGGGAGTGATTGATGAATTCCTTAACCGTGACACAGTATCCGTGGTTCCATATATTTGATCCATTAGCGGATCCAGCGCAAATTGGCAACATTGTTTTCCTCCATTTAAACCTATGGAAATGTACCGATTCTTAGTGGGGCCAGGTGCTCTGACAAGAATCGATTATTTAACATAGGTTTAGACGGAGGGGATCCGGCGTTGCCAAATTGCTGGATCCACCTCTGATTTGATCCGAAATCGCAGGATCACCAGCGGTGGAGGCTCTTTTGTCTCCCCGGTGATCTCTCTCTCCTGGGGGTCCCTCCACGCGGCTTCCGTCCCTTGCCCTGGGGATTAGCACCGATGTGTTGTCCGTTATCATACCTGTTATAAACGTTATTTTTATTGCTGACTGATCTTCGTCCTTTGGCCTTCATGACCACTTCCTCGTCATCGTCATCGTTGAAGCCGTGATAGGCGTCCCCAGTGATGACCTGATTGCTGTTGACCGCTCTCCAACCATGGTCGATGTTAACGGTGGGGTTGCGAATAATCCGTTTGCCCCTCAGCGTGGAACCCGGGGAGCTCATGGTGACACCGTTGACATTTCTCAGGAAGCTCGTGTGTCCGTCTTCGTCTGGCCCGTTGTTGAAGACGTTGTTGTCGAAGGTGATGGTTCTGCCAAGAAGGGTAGGTTCTTCATCGGGGGTTTCCCCTAGGTCAGAAGGGTTGCTGCTGTCAATTGGTACCATGTCGTTAGGAGGGAGAGCAATGGGAGCTTTCATCGCGATGCTGGGTTGTTTCAGTGTCACAGACGTTGCATGACCGAATGCCTGAGGAAAGTTGAATTTCGACCGCGTTAAAAAGAAAGGAACCAAGCCACATCAACTATTACCAAATTTAACTGGGCAATTTGATTTTTTAGAAAAGAACGTTTGTGTGAATATTCTTTTGAAATTTGTGAGGACTTTGCTTCGCAATATGCAGAGAATTCTCTGAAATTTGCCCAAGAGTCCACACAACCGTTTCCATGTAAAACATTAAATTGCCCAGTTAAATGGCAATAGCTGATGTGGCTTGGTTCCTTTCTGCTTAACGCGGTCCATTTATAAATTATAATGTAGAGTGGGTCTCACGCAAATTTTCTAAAGCAAAAAGGAAAGTGGTCTCTCCTCGAAAATGGTTCAAAAATCGCGTTGAGAACATTGAAAACATGTCCGTAACTATTTATACCTCTTCACAACCTGTATAAGATATTTGCTCAAATTTGAGCCTCCCACTTCAATTTATCCCACGAGTACCACAGCATAGGCGTAATTCGATACAAAGTGAGCCACCTCGTTTTCACAACTCCACGCAATACTCAAAATGACCGCCGTCCTGTGCGGTGGTGTTTCAGCTATAAAAACCGACATTTATACATCATGAAAGCTTCTCTTCCATCAGTTTTTCAAGTTAAAATTCATAAGTAAAAAGACTTCGTCGTTTGTTTCTAGTATAGAAATTGTGTCACATGACGGTGGCTATTTTATAACAAATTATTCCAATGATGTATGTTTTCGCCGTCACACAATTTTTTAATCAAAGCTTGAAAAAGGTATTGAGTTTTCGAATTATGTAATGGGCCCATTATTGATTCAAAGCTATTTATTTTTTTATTAAAGAAAAAAAGCACCTTTTTGGTTTAGCAAACGTTTGCAACAATCCTATATTGCGGCCTAAATGCTGGGCTCAAGTACTATTCGGAGCTACATTATGTTTAATGATGGATATGCATGTTGTTTTACAGTGCTTTTAAATATTTCCACAATTTTCATCCACTATTTATGGAAGATAATTAAATTATGTCGATATTATAATAGTGACAAGTTTAAGGAAGCAAAAGAACACTTTTCACAGGCGATGTATCTAGTTTTAAATAATTAATTGACTGCGATGTATTCTTACATTACGCGACATTGCCAGACTTACTGCCGCTGCTCTTAAAGCAAGAGTCTTGCGTTTGAAGTATAAAAATGATGGAAATGAACGTACCACAAGCCCGAGCAAGAAGCAGAATAAGGGGGAATAGTTTGCGTGAACAACCATGCCTGAGATTCAAATACCACCACACAGACTGACGGTACGGATGACAAGCCTATGGCTTTTAAAGAAAAGTTTGCGTGCATAACTGCCGTCACTCTCAGTTTAATTTTACCTTTAATTTAAAATCTTTTAATTAAAAAAGATTTTTTTTCGCAAAGCTTTAAAAAGCGACAATGTTGTCAAACATGTGTTCTTAGTACTCACTAAGAACAGATTAATAACAGTTGTCAGAAAAGAACACAACATCCGTGTCTTTTTTATGATACTTTGTGAGAGAGTACTTCATATTTGCATATTTCTCCAATAAACTCTCAATGTACACAAACAAAAGTTGAAAGTTCAAAAACTTGTTGTGGGCATTACAATGTTTCAAAACGATTGCAATTCTTATCGCTCATTGAAACTATGAAATAATTTTACTCTTGACTTCAATAGCTAACTTTACGCGCGCAAAGCCTTCGATTTTGTAGTTTGCCCTTCAACAGTAGAATTGAAGCTGCATAAATGTCCTTTTCGGGGACAAAATTAAAGTGTAAATTGAAAAGCCTCCTTAAAGGTCTTTTTGCACGCGTAAGTAATTGCAAGGTACCATCTTGGTACTATAAGTATTCCAATACACGACAACAATGTGTAATTTGAGTTAAACGGACTTTAATTCTTCAACTAGATGCTCTGACGTTCCTATTCTGCTTGACGCACAATTTTAAAAGCATGTTAACGTCTCGTCAGCACTCGATTGGCACGCAATGGATAATTTTTTTATTTTTGCGTCAAAGGCATATTTCATATTGATGATGATGATTGACAAGATCTTGACTGAATTGGCGCAGTTGCCAATCTTGTGAGACATGATTATTGTTGTTGCTCTAAATTTATTTTTACATAAAATACATACATGGCACAAACGAAGTTTTTTAAGTAAAACTAAACATTACAGTTCTGTACTTTGTGATAGAAGTCTCTAGGGGGATGAAAAAATGTTGCTTGGTTTAAAAAAAACATTAAAGAAAAGGTGATCATTCATTCCGAAATACAGCAATCACGTTTTGGTTTTATTTTTTCTCTCTTATCTTTACTTCATAGAGACCCAATAAAATTCCTATTAATTAATGTTACAGCTTTAGAGGGAGCAAAATAGCCCCGACTCAATAACGGAGGATGGGCTCTACCGAGGAAAGTTTTAACAAAAATGGTCCTAGTTGCGCAACCATACACTAGGGACTTGGAGGAGATGTGGGATTATTGTAATTTTTGCTACTTTAAGAAACATGTGTTTTAAGTTTCAAAATTACAATATAATTTATGGTCCTCGACTAACGAGCACACCCCGTCTTTTCCACCTGTCTCTCGTTCCGTTTGACAGAATTACGTCCATTTTAAGTCTAGTTTTAGTTGAAATCATTATCAAGTCACTTCTTCAAAAGCTGCACTAGTCTCTCTTGTGTTCCAAGCCCCTCATATGTTAACGCCCATCCTTTTATTAAAAGAATAGAAACAAGAAAACTTACAATGCGAATAACTTCATCCAGATTCTTAAGCGTCTTCACCTAGCTCTTTCTTTCCTTCTCTCTCACAAAATATCGCATTCAATCAAGTTAAAAATTGATGGTAATCGAATCACTGATAATAAAACCACACCAACTCGAAAAAATAAAATATTTAAGAGGCACAAAAACCTGTACGAGAAGTAAAAAAGTTGGTCGAAGGAAAAAACTTGTCGGTGCCAAAGGACAAGCACGTACTTTAATGATTCAGGTTGACATAGAGATGCCATCTCCAATGACTTTCGTGAAATTTATGCACCTTTAATGGCATTTGGGCATTTTTAGGTGTCCGAGTTTGTGCGTTTCCATTCTCACTGATTCAATTATGGATCCATACATTTCTCTCACTTCTATCGTCAAAAATGCCCAGTATCTCAACACTGTGAACCAAACTGAACTAACTCTTCTTCTCTTAAGTTTTTACCACAACCATTCCTCTCATTTAAAATCGCCCCCTTTCTTCCCATTAGTCCTCTCGAATTCCTCCTAAAGATAAAAAAGAAGAGGAAGAATAGACAAAATTAAACTCTTTTCCTTGAAACGTTTTCGAAATCACACGTTAACTCGTAGAGCCACGGTTTTTTTGTTTTGTTTTTTTTTTGTTTTTTTTTTTGTCTCATGAGGAATGGGACGCACTCCATCGCCCCTCGCCCTCATAATTAAACTTCGGAGACACTCAATAATGACATGCAAATGATTTTAAGCCAAGCGTGTGCGAAGATAGTGACCTATGCAAAGAAGTCATAAAAAATGAACAAGACGAGCCAAAGTTAGCGCACAGCAAATCGCTGAAGAACCGGGTCCTTGAAAGTACGAAATGAAAAGCAATAAAACTTGGCCATGCATGAAAAGCTTGCCATTGAAGCGATAAGAATGAATTGTCACGTGATCGTATCGTACGTGGGTAGGGTTTAGCATATCATTCATTGAACGTGACGCGTGAAAAAAAAAAAAAAAAAAATATCATTCATTGAACGTGACGCGTGACAAAAATTACCCTGAAATTTGCAGTGACAAACTGCCTACTATACTACCTCTGACCCAATTCAGAGACAATATATGTGCAATTAGTTTCCTTGTACAAGTAGGTGATCCTATAGATGTGCCAGAATAATAGCAGTTCCTTTTTGCAAAATGTGTCCATTTGGGATTGCCTGTCCGACAACTACGAGGTCCAGGTAATGAGGTCTGCTTCGCTCTTCTAGAGGGCTGCATCGTAATAACAAAATTCTAGGCCAGATTCCGATTTGTAGGCAATTTTGTGTTTGCAGGGAGGTTACTATTCAGCAATTATTACCTGCAGAAAGCGGAAGAACACTGAAAAAAAAGTTACGGGCAGGTATAGACATTAGACATACCCTCCGTTCCGGGCTCATGGCCGCATGTTCCGGGTACTGGAGGCGTAACTTCGAATGCTCTGGGTGCTACGCCCGGAACTTTGGGCCTCTGAGCCCGGAATGCGGACGGTATGTTTATATAGCCCGTAAGTACAGCTTCCACGGCCGAAGTTTTTTTTCCGTAAATCGGTTCTGAAGATCTCTGTGAATAACTTTGAAAAATTATGAAAATAAATGGAAATTTTAAGAGCTACATTTTATTATGCCACCAAGGATTTTAGAGGTTTCATTCTAGTCAAAACCGAGGTCCTTCAATTCTAAATGTACGGAACGATGGTACGAGTTCCTTTTTGCGCTGTCTGTTTCACCTAAGAAAGAAGAATAAGAAAAGTATCTTACGTATGAAGGAAGCAATTTAGAACATACATATCATACTCTAAAGTCACCAGGTATCGGACTCCATTGCAGCCATTTCGAGATATCGAGGAAAAAGTGCGCGTTAGTCCCGTTTATTTAATAAAAATTACACATTTTTGAGCCCCCTATCTCATGGCCAATTTTAGATGAGACTATCAGAACTAATGATTCTTTCGCTTGTATTTCAAGGTGCTGTGACAAATCAATACTTCAGTAATTTTCAGCAGAACTCAAAACATTGAATTTTGAAAAGAGCATTCAACTAGAGCACTTATGGAAAGATCATTTTTAAAAACTACTGTAGGTACTTATTTTGACTGATTACCTAGATGTAATCGTCTTTGTTTTATCACGAGTCTCTATAATGAAATGATCAGCTTCGTTAGTATCCAAGGTTACACACGAGTACCTGCTATGGTTGACATCATCCTGTTCGTCATTTGTACGAGAACTTCAAACTCCATCACTTGACTTAACTTTCTTACGTACTGGAAGATCACTCACAAGTCACGATATCGATGGAAAATCCTTTCTTCGGCCAATCTGGACGCACTTGGATCATTCGTGGAAACATTCGTCATCAACGGTCGTCGATCTAGAGGCCAGGAAGATTTCCAAAACTGAGGGAGAAAACTCTGTCTGAGGTTTTTGTCATAACAGAGAAGTGATGACAAAGTAACAGATAACAAGAGTCATAAAAGTCGAGAAATTTACGATCCGGTTAATCCAGATTATCTTCCTATTTACATGGGCAGTCTGGGTAGGAAACCTCTCGTCTCGTTGGAGGTGGATGATGATTTACGGCCTCTCTAGCTCTCTCCCTCTCTCTCTATCCTACAATTTATCCTCTCTCTTTCTCTCTGACGATTTCTTATCGGCGCCGGCCCGGGGGAGGGCCCTACAAGACATGGATTTTGCAATCGTCGATGAGGACTCGCGATTTTAGAGCCGTGCAGAATCGAATGTTCTGCGGACCAAGCGTTTTTGCCGACGCGAAATCCCGGATTCTTTTATAGTGGTTGGTTATTAGGCTGCAGAAGCCGCCTATTTTTTACCAAACCGTCGATACAATATTTACATTGTTGGCCTTTTTGGGACTTGACAACCGTGATATGCGTGAAATTATCCTGTATTTGGAGCGATCCTAGTTTTAACGGATAACCTGGTGCTCCATTGAAGTAGGTCTAGATTGCTGAAAAGTTTCCTGAAACTGAGTTTGTGGAGTAGAACAAATTCCACCTGTGATAAGTGACACATTCTGATCTAAGAAGTAAGTATGAACAGTATGCCTTTAGATTTTCCGCTTTTTCGTGGATAATTATAAATGATGGGTCGGTTGCACTAGTCAAAAAGCCACGTTTTGGTGTTTTAAGCGCCTTGACTAGCTTAAAAAACCGGCGCTCCGCTTTGCTCCGCGCCGGTTTTAGAGGGGGCTTCGCCCCCCCAAGCCCCCCCCAGGACGCGGGCGAGCGTCTTTTCAGAGTCGTCTGCACATCTAGTTTTTCTTCTTTTTAAGTGTCCCGCGCATCCACCGCGGGAAGGAAGTGTATTTCCCGAAGTGGGATTTTTGTGGGCCGCCTGGGCCGCTGTGCCACGAACAGATCTTCCAAAAACTTTCTTCGCCTGACCCACTGTGCGACGCACAGTTTGTCCAAAATCTTCCTTCCCCTGAACCACTGAGCGACGAAAAGCTTGTTCAAAAACTTCTTCCCCCGACCCACTGTGCGACGAAAATTTTGTCCAAGAGCTTCCTCCCCCTGACCCACTGTGCGATGAAAATTTTGTCCTAAAAATTCTTCCCCCTGACCCACTGTACGACGAAAATTTTGTCCAAATAATTCTTCCCCCGGACCCACTGTGCGACGATCAGCTTGTCCAAAAACTTTCTCCCCCGACCCACTGTGCGGCCCTGCTCCGGCCGGCTCCCCTCATGCCGCGCACCCCTCGCCTAAAACTTTCAAAGCTCGCCATTTTTAAACGGCTCGGCCGATTTAGCTCAAATTCAATACCAAACCAGTCCTAGGGGAGAATTACCACCCGTAAAAATTTCAGCTCGAAATATTCATTTTCGCTCGAGTTATCGAGTGGACAAGATTTGACCTCCCCCCACTTTCGAGCCCCACCCCTCAAAATCTATTGCCTCAAATTTCAATTTTTTTCCGCAGAATAGTAGTTCTAATGAGTCTCTACTAAATGCAAAAAAATTGGTCAAAATATCTTTTAACGTAAGAAAGATATAACTACTCAAAAATCGAAAAATCTTAAAAAGGCGGAAATACATACGTCTGGGTCCGACATCATGGGAGAATGCAATAGTGTATTTTCTTCGGAAAATACACTAAAAATGAGATCCGTCCAACTGCCAAATTTCTACGTCCAATATTCACGGAGATATCGTCCTTCAAAAAACACGGTACATGACGTCATTCACTGCTGTAGTACATATCATGATTTTGTTCACTGTGGATTCATCAATTAGAGATACACACATTTGTACTGATTGCTCTACAGGGATGTTACCAAGTTGGAAGAAATAATGGCATGCATCACCGCGGTGGATGGCGTCCGCCACGTTTTTCAAGGGTGACATCCTCGTTTATACTGGAATCGAAAACTCGGTGTTTGAATATAGGTCTTACTACTTTTTGCTGATGTATAATCTGAGATAATTTACATTTGATTTACCCACTGGCACATCTGATCCATTATTTGCCTGTACTAATAGTGTATACTGACATTCTCAGGAACAGGACCGTTGCTTTGAGCGTTGCCAATTTGTCCCATTATAACACCAATTTGCTGAGAAAATTGTAATGTTTCGAATAGTTTGCTATTTTATCTAGTTAGTCTAAGAATTATGAGGAAACATATTCGCAAAATTTCTCCGAAATAGATATTTTATCAGAGAAAATGTGACAATAGTATCATACCCATTCGGCGTTTGTCTTTAACGCGACAGTATGCGGGCAACCGTTTGGTCTATGAAAAGAGAGACTTTACTGCTAAAAAATTCAAAATTAAGGCACTCTTTATATACCTCCAGCGGTCCTTTGAAGTATATTTGGCGGAGAGACTTCAAGATCTGGTGTGGTATTCTGTTTGTACCATTCTGTTGAATAATAGCCATCAGACATTTACTCCCCTCTGCCTTCATGCACTAAAATGTTTTATGGTCGTCACATTCCCGCATACGTGCTATTTTTAAAATTTAAGATTTCTCTTGGGTTAAACAATACAATTGGTGACGGCTTTTTCCAAATGTAAAATTAGCACCAACTCCACACGGAAAGAAGCTGGTGCGGCTTTCGTAAAATCAGTGAGCTTTTTCGCAGTTTCTTATGATAATAATGATGATATCGTATCTACTTTGTGCTTGATGTATCAAGATAGCAGCTTGATAAGCCATGTAAAAAGCCTCGTTTTAACGATGGTAGGTTACGACAATATTGCTGAAATGTCACGATACTTTTGCTACGCTATCAAAAAATTTTCCGGAAAAATTGTTATGAGGAAAGATTCATGGAATCAATGCCGCAACAATGTAACTGTTGAAAAATTAAAGAAATCTTTGCTAACAGTTACTTGGTATATCTAAAATTAATGAAAGAAGGCTTGTGGAAAATGATGTTGGATTACCTATAATCTATCTACTAGTGGGCCACTCAAATTCTGTCAATGCATCTTGGTGTCCATGGATCAATAGTCAAGTACACTTCAATAGTGACGGTAAAAGTAAATCGCGATTTTTTAAATATTTCACGAGCCTCCGCTACTGTATTTCTCACACAAATTATCAAAGTTCATTTGTTAAAAATGTATGATAATTTCCTTTCAGTATTTATCGAGTTTTCTCGTTTCAAATTTTTTACGAAGTAATAATGTTGATACTGTAAGAATAGAGCCGTGTCAACTAAAGAAAGCAATTACTTCACACAATGGGCCGCAACTTGTACCTAATTATAGTACCGTATTAAGAAGTTGAGTGCTATCCCAATCGAACATTTTGATTAATCATACATCCATCCTTCTGAAGTACCTCTTTAGCAAATTCGCGATTGTGAAAAACTCTCACCTCTGGTGGGTCCATTCATAAGTTCTGGGTATTATATATTATCACGTTTATAAGCCCTCTGATTGCTCAAATACGTACATTTACTGTCGAAGTTCGTTCAAGATATTCACTGGTCCGATTTTTATTATTTTTGTGACTATCAGCAGGTAATAACCTTCAGCTAAACCAGATTTCTTAGAATTTTTTAAATACAACACAGGTTTCATAATATTCAGTGACGATGCTGTGGCTTTTTTCATACTTAACCGTTTTAATTTTCAATTTTTTGCCATGGTCTAATAATATGTATCTTCGTCAGTCCTGCTCATTCCAAGTGGACTGCATTTTGCAATTTGGAACTATAAATTCTGTCTCTTCTGGAAAAACACTTATGTGCAAAGGGAAACTAATGACACATACGTTGTTTTTAAACCGGGCTAGAATTTATAGTTCCAAATTGCAAAATGTAGTCCAACTAATCTTACAAAATGTACTTTTATTCGTGGTTTTTGAAACCCAGAAAGATAGGAATTATGCCTCTAAAGCAGCACAAAATGAACGTATCTGTAAATTCCTCTTCAACGATGCAATTCCTTTGTTGGGCCCTTCTAGGACAAATTTGGCATGTTTTCACTCTTAAAAAAAAAAAAAAGAAAAAACTAAGATTCAAAATTTTCCCTCCTCTTTCTGATCTCAATAAATCCCTCCCTTTTTCAAACGACTTAATTTCCAAATTTAATTATTTTGTCTTTGTACTTTCTTTCAATTTTTGGTAATTCTCTTTTTGTGATCTCTGCTCTTGGTGTTAATGGCCCAGCTTTGTCGAAGCACCTATAAATAAATGTATAAAACAACAACAACATCCTTTTTATGAAATTACGTTATTGTCTTAAATTCATGTTGAAGAACCGAATGCTGAGATATGTCACCGCGCTATGACTCGTATGACCGAACCTTTTTTCCGGACGTAGACAACCATGAATGTAGCAGGTTTGATAGATTCTATTATGTGACAGTTTTAGATAGGGAAATGCAGAGAGATGCAGATCATATTCTTCTCAATTTTGTCTTCGTCTTTCCTTCCTCTCATCATAGAACATTTTATATTATTTCCAGACTACAATGGATACTCAATTGGCAACGATACAAACCACCCTGGAAATAAAAACTGCAGAAAGGTAATAGCTCTCTATATTTGTCTAATGTATAAGTAAGTTGAACTCAATCGAGGAGTGAAAGCAGATTAATTAAAAGAAAGTATCCACAGAAAAAATAAGACTGTAAACGCCTGTGACAATCTTAATTAGGCTGCTAAAATTCTGTAATCAACGCTGAACAACAGCAAGCACTAGCTTCACAGCCATTGATTCATGTGCGGTTTAAGTTCCGTAAAGTAAAGGATGCATTTGATGAATGAATGGGTGTGGGCGAAGGGTTGTCTTATTGCCGCGATAAATCAGGAATAAACACCCCAAAGCATATGCTGCTCCCAGAAATCCTGAGCGACATAAACCATGTTTGGTATGCAAAGGGGCAAATTAGACTCCGGGGTGTAATACACCCCGCATTTCACTCCAATATTTCTAACAAAGCAGTGGTAACTAAAATATGATATTTTATTCATGGGTTTCGTTTCCTTTCAATTCCTCTCGTGTATATTTAGACGAAAAGGAGAAACTTTTAATATACTAAAGAGGTAGCAAGTTCATAGACGACGAGTGATGGTCAGCTTGATAACGTAAATTTTGCGTCAGTGTTATCACGTATCAACTTGAGACGATTCCATTCATTGATAGCGGCATATACTCTTTAGATAACCCTAAAAGGCCCGACCATATTCAAATGTAAAAAAAAGGGAAAAGATGAAATGAAAAAATTCATTTCGTGATGTGAAGTTGTTAGTGCAATATGTAGTAACTCGTCATACCTACTTGTAAATAGGAGGTGAATAAATTATAATAAAAAATATATTTTATAATAACCTACGCAACATAAAACGATAGATCCTCTTCAGTGCAAAAATCTCATTCAATCGCTCTTACTTTTCTTAGGACAGTAATCAATCATACATTGTCTTAAATGTCTTGGTAAATGTTCTATGATTCCTTCTTCCTTTCGGAGAATTGATCTCTTACTATTATCAACGGTGCAGAATGTGTGCATAAATGTGTGAAAATGTAGAGCTAAGGCTATGATTTTTATCAAAAAGATTTTTTAGATACCACAACTTGTTTACAATCATTTTTTTCTTTTTTTCTTAATTATTTTCCTTTTTTTTTTTAAATTTTACTGGTAATCTTTCATTTTAACATTCTGTGTAACGCGCTCAGATGCTTCTGGACCGTTGAAAACCAAGTGACGCCATTTTGATTTCAACCGATCTAAAGCATTTGTTTTTGCCTCCTTCTTTTTTTTATAAGGAGGAAAAAGAATGCTTTGAATCGACGAAAATCAGACGTGAGAAAACGTTGTGACGATTGTCTATACTTAGGGTAGATTTCCCTACATCTTGCATTGAGCAAACCTGATTGGCGACAGCGGAAGGGAAAATGTGGCGCTTGATGCCGCGGGAAATTCGAAAACGCACGATGCGGAGGACATTCCAAATTTTATGTGACGAAGTGAATTTCAGCATTTTTTATTGCGTTTACTTTGATTTTCGTGCAATGTAACCCCCAAAAACTATATTCATTTATCTGTATCTCTTGAGTGCAGCATATTTAGTTTAATCTCTTAAAATCAATGAATGCTTACGTTAGAAAATGTTAAATGATCGCCGTACATGTAAAAGCAACGCATCTTTTCTAATTTTCAAGCAAGGTTTTGAAACAGTGAAATCAGACTACTTGCGCGGTTCTTTGTAATTGGGCTGAGTATACAAGCAACGCAAACCATCGATAATGGTACTCGATGGACAACAACTCAGATTTGGGTGAGATTAGGAATGAGAGAGTTAGGAAAGTTTTCAACTCTTTCTTTATGAGTATCTTATTTTCACAATTTGTTGATTCATTGGCCGCAGTTGTTTTCTAGTTTGTTTGGAGAATAATATTTACAAGCTCTCTGCGGGTTCTCTCAAAGTAACAGATGAGGTGTCAACTTCGAGAGGCGATAAACGTATAAGATGATATTGAGATGGGATTATATTGAGCTTCAGAATATCGAGAAACCGGAGAAAGTAAACGTGAGGGAGGGATGGGGGCTTGATGCAATTTTTTGATTGTTTGAACTTAAATTTTTAACGTCTCGTTCAAAAAAGGAGAGAAAGTTATTGATAAAGCTTTCAGAGTATAACAAATTATTAGAAAAGTTGCGGTGAAAGAATTGTCAAAAAACATACTTACCAGCTGTCAGAGTGTTTTAGTTCCAAAAAAGGATTGCTTTCAATCTCCCACGGTTATTCTTTCATTCTGTTGGACAAGGACAATGAATATGTTGACTGAAATGTTAAGTAATTAGTTCGTAAGCTAGATGGCACCTCTTCCCCTCCTCTAATGATTTTAGAGCTTAGATTTAATCAATAAGAAAGGCTATTTTTTACTTATTATAACATTTTGTAAATTTTTATTTCGAAAACTTATGGTGATGTTTCTGTTGCAGCAATTCTTGTGCCGATCTTGTGCCGAGAAAAGAGGAACAACAAGAGAAAAATCCAAATACTCGAGAATTTAAACATGCAACAACGTAAGTCGATTCAACTATTTAGCGCAAAAAATATTCATATTTTAATTGGAGCCACGGATTAACAGTGTTTTGAATCTTAGTACAATTTTTAGGAGACTGGCAAAACTTCCTAAAGTTAAAATGAATGCTATCCATAGTAGTTGCTTTTCAGAATATACCTAAAAAAATGTTGAGTTGAAGGAAATTTGGGACATAACTGGCAACTAAATGACATTTTTCGTCGCAGTTATCAGTGAAAAATGGATAAAATCCCAAGACTCATGGTAAAAATATCCTTCAATGAAGTTTGCGGATGATACATCGAAGAATATCCAGCGTGACAATTACAGCCCATTAAAATGATCTGCGGATCGCCTCGTGTGTTGAAAATGGCAATCTTTAGCTTTTAATGTCTTAGTATAGTCTTATTGTGACTTGCAATCATTAGTTGCTGATTTTGGAAATGTGTTTTAATGACTAAATAACCGACATACAACTTTTGATGACGGCATTTTATTGCAGATCCTCGCAAACCACCCC